ATGACTACTACAGTATATTTAAATTCTCTTTTAACATGTTTTTTGTTGTTGTTTTATGTATCCAAATACAGAGCTCTTAAATGTCACCACTTTTAAAATCGGAATATTTGAGCAATAGCATGTGCAAAGCAAATTAAATAAAATCGGCTAAAGATTCCTTTTTATGAAAATTCCAGTAACTTATTAAAACAAATTGATTTGTATTTTTCTTTCCCATGATCAATGAGTAATTTTTCATCTCATAAAAAGGAAACAATAAAAATAAACTAACATTTAACTTCAACTTTAGTTCCACATTAAACTTTAAACATCTTGTTTAACTTTGAGAGAATTTGAGTGAGAATTAGACGATGATTTTTTATTTTTATTTTTTTTTTCAATCTGGTTCAAGGGTTATCATCATTCTTTGCTATGGCTGGTCTCCTTTTTATGGTGGTATTACAAAAAAAAAACAAACAAAAAAAACACAAGCCAAAGGAAAAGCAAAACCCTCGCATGGAATTAATCTTCACTCTTACTGTGGTTAAAATTTGCTCGTATTCAAAATCGGGGCGTTCGACTTTGGAGCTTCCACTGTGCTGTATGGGATCCAGACTCTCCCACCCACTAACTCGTCAACCTTTAAATTCAAGCCTTTTCCTCACTACTCTAATTTTAGGTACCTGTAACATCCTTGTAACACGCACCCCTTCACTCCAAACGAGCCCCCCCCCACCCCCTCCCCCGCACCATCCAATCAAAAATCTTTGCTTGTCTTTTGTATTTCTTGAATGAGCCTTGTGATAACATCTTTACAATGTTGGACACACCGAGAAGAAATGTCTAATTTGTCACTCCACTGCCCCCTCCTCCTCCTCCTCCTTCTTTCTTGTTATACAGGACCTTCGCTTTCTTTCTTATTCGCCCTTTGGCGCGCAAGATGTCGGATTAAATTGCTCGCGTTATTGCCAAGCGGCACCTGCACATGACGCCTTTATCGGTTTATTGTCAGAAAGTGTTGATCTCATTTGCGTTTATTCATTTCACTCGCCATTATGGCCCTCAAGAGGGCAAATCATTTGCTGTTAATTTGCCTGAAAATGCAAATACCGGGCACTAAAGTCCGACTAGAGGTGTGGTTTGCGATGCGCTGGCTTCTTTGTGGATGCCAGTGACATCTGGCCTAGCCGCAGAGTGATCATAACTCGTGTGTGGGTGTGACTGCAGAAGAGCCGGTGGATGAGAGGAAGCCCACGTTCCTCCTCCCGTCTGAACCGTCCAGCTCCAAAATGGTGCTCCGGGGTCAGGTGCTGGAGATGGAGTGCTTTGCGGAAGGCCTGTATGTATCACCCTTACGTATGAAGCATTTTGGTTACAATTTGAAACCGTTCCCAAGTGTCTTACGAAGGTGTTTGTGGCCCAAATTGGTCAAAAATACCAAAAGGATCGAGAATTACAGCATACTTTACGCTCCCGATTTTTTTTGTCTTGCTGAAATCAGCACGTTTGTTCTATTTCTTGTGCCTCACTTATTTCTTGGCTAGCCCGTTTTCTTAACTTCAGAAGCAGAGCCCAATATGTGCGGAACATTTTGAGACCCCCCGTCATTGTACATTTAGAACTCAAACTCAAAGGCACACCTCAATTTTTTTTTTCTGGATTGAGTAAGATCATATTTTTTTGAATATATTTTTTTCTTTCCAGATTCAAGAAAATCGTTTTTATCATAATTTTTATGTTTTCTGTATTCCAAGTAATACATGTTAAGCAATCAAGAGGCTAATTTGGAAAAAAAAAATGCTCACTTACTGAAAACGTCTTTGATGTCATTTCATCACAAAACCAGACAACTCCAAGAAGATAATTTGCTTTAAAAAAAAAAACAGACAAATTGGAATCTCGCTAACTGCGGTAACTCAACTTTTTCCATACAAGCAGTTCAAAAGAATGTGTCTTTTTTTCCACTTTTTAAATGCAAGCCCCACTCCTGTAATCTCCTGGGCCAAAGTGAGCGGCGAGCTCCCGAGCACGCGCGCCTCTTTCCTGCATCACCAGAAAATCTTGCGCATCGTCAACGTGTCGGAGGAAGATGCGGGCGACTACCGGTGCACCGCCAAGAACCAGCTGGGCTCAGTCCACCACACCATTCAGATCACGGTCAAAGGTACGTCCTATCCCACATGATGATCCGTGTAGCGTGCACTATGATTCAATCTTCCTTCTGTTTTTCAGCCGCTCCATACTGGATCGGCGGCGCTCCCAGAAATCTCGTCCTGGCCCCAGGAGAGAATGGGGTGCTCATGTGCAGGGCCAGCGGCACGCCCAAGCCAAGCATCCAATGGGCCATGAATGGCGTCCCCATAGAGAGTGAGTGAAGAAACACTCTACACCAAACAATTCTGACCCCCCCGCAACCCCCCCAAAAAAAGTATATATGCTGAAATAATGACGATCTTGTCACAATTTACTAACAAATATATTTACTCACTGTGGAATGTAGTACGAATGGCTGCAAGTGACTGCACGGTTAAATTTGACCTTCTACCATTCCGTGGAAGAGCATTTAATTCTTCTGCCTGTCAGTAAAAGCCGCTGGTGTGGTTGGATCAACAAAGATACATTATTTATAGTAAATAAATCATTTTTGGACTAATTAAGTGAAATTTCCACCCACACATCTCTTATTACTGGGCAGGAACCGCATTTATTAGCGTATATATGTTGAAAATGGCCCCTCACTTGTCACGGACGACACTGAGGAATTTGTATTTAGGTACGAAAAACATATTAGAATGATATATCATTGTCATTTGTCGGTTTCAATGAGAAAATAGATTCAGTATGTTGGCGCAGAAAAAAGTAGACTCATGAATACAGAATGAAGTACAGATGAAATTAAATTCGGATTGAATGATAATAATAATAAAATATTTCATGAAATATTAATGTGCATTCATGATAAAACGGAATAACAAAGCCAATTTTAATACACTCCCGATATATATCGATTGAGTGTTTTCAAAAATCGGTAGCTGTCAGTTAAATGCTACGAGCACATGTTGGCACTTGTGGTCCGAAAAAGTAATACATGTGATGAAAATCGCCTTGTCAAGTTCCATAATATTCTGTCACCCGTGAAAACAGATGCTCCAAAGGACCCCAGCCGGAAAGTGGAAGACGACACCATCATCTTCACTGACGTGCAGATGGGATCCAGCGCCGTGTACCAGTGTAACATCTCCAACCAACACGGCTACCTCCTGGCCAACGCCTTTGTTAACGTCTTGTGTAAGTCCAGATTCAGAAAACTGAATTCATCCCCGTGGACCAATTTAAATGGGGTGGGATCCTCATGGGGGTTGAACTGATTCGTCCACGAGTTGACTTAACTATCGACATTTAAAGCCTCAAAACGACGTTGCGCTAATAAGCTGTTTTAGCCTAGCTAGCTATTCTGATTGCTAGTGAAAACATGGGGTGGCGGTGTAAAGTGACGCTTCATCTTCTTTGCCAAATAATGCCATCGATTAATCGACCTTGACTCTTCTTTCATCACATTAGAGTCGATGTCCAAAAAATCTTTACCCTGCTTATCCGGCAGGTACATCTTTTAATAGCGCTGCATCAGGCTCACATCTGTGTTGGAGGACAACGTCAGATCGTTATCGAAGACAGTCCCCGGGTTTGAGTTTTTGGTCAGAATCTCAACCGGTGACCCAGGGATGGTACTGTTGACAGCTCCAGCTACCATATCTGTCTTCTGGAGGAGTTTGCCACCACCACCTTGGCCTTTCTGATATTCATTTCCAGCCGTCACAACTCCAAAAACTGCTGCAGAGCAGGTCCATGGTGTTGAGTAGAGCCAGACAGAAGAACCACGTCGCTAGGAAACATCACTAGTTTGGGGTGCGAAGTCCTGAATTCATCATTGTCGAGAATGAAAAGCAGTGGTGAGAGGACGCAGCCCTGTGGGGAGCCTGTAGCGGCGGTGAGGGGGTCCGACAGACTCATTGAAATTGACGTTCTGGTGGAAATGATCTGCGAGGATATGTGGCTGTGACTTGATAAATTCAGAGGAGAAATCTGCAAACAGAAGCCATCCGTTTGCATTCCGATAACAAAATGAGCCAGACACGGACACATTCGCATTGAATGGCCGCATCGCATTTACCACCGCGTCTCGTTTTCCAGCCGAGCCGCCCAGAGTGCTGACGCCGGCCAACACAGTCTACCAGGTCATCAAGAATCACCGAGCCCTGCTGGAGTGCACTTCCTTCGGCTCACCCATCCCCAAAATTACCTGGTGAGTTAATGAACCCTGAACCGGCACGGCTAATGTTCCATGAAAAATCATGAGATACCCGCTTCTGTCTCAGGTTCAAGGAGAGTCGTTTCGGGACGCTAGACGACGAGACGTACAAGGAGCACGACAACGGCACTTTGGAAATCCGTGTGGCTCAGCCTCGGAATAGCGGAAAGTACACCTGCGCGGCGCGGAATTCTCTCGGTATCTATGAGAATCACGTGCACCTGGAAGTCAAAGGTACTCATTGTTCAGGACTTGGCCTCTTACCACACTCTGAGTACCACAAGTGGGAGCCCTCGTTCCACTTTGAGACCCACGAAAACAAAGCGAGCTGAGTGTAATGGTTGCATCATAAACTCGTCTGTCATCAGAACCGACCCGCATCCTGAAGCAGCCCGAGTACCGAATGGTGCAACGCGGCAAGTCCGTTGTGTTTGAGTGCAAAGTCAAGCACGACCCTTCGCTCGTTCCCACCATGACGTGGCTCAAAGATGACGGGGAGCTGCCCGACGACGAGAGGTGAAAATGTGACCGATATGTAAACGACGACGGTAAAGTTATTCATACTGTTCACCGTTGATCTGAAAACATTTCATTGATTGCTTGAAGCAGATTTGTGGTGGACGCCGACAGCCTCACGATCGCCGACGTGATGGAGAGCGACGCCGGCGTATACACGTGCGTCATGAACACAACGCTGGACCACGATTCAGCCAGCGCTGAGCTCACCGTCGTTGGTACGAGCCCCCCCCCGTACATCGTGATGTATTCGCTGCTCACTCAACTTTTTTCCGGGTGGTTGACTTGCAGAGCTCTTATTGGATTTACTCTCGATATGCTTTACGCTCTACACTCTTAACATGAATATTGAATGGCCGCCGGCTAATCTTTGTTTTAATATGGCTGACGTAACACTTGGTATTCCGTCCCCGCTCGCGGACCCGTCAGAGGCCACGCCGACGCCGACCGTTGGCAATGGTAAAGCCTGTGGCGCACGTGGCTTGACAGATATGCCTCACTTTTGTTTTGGGATGATTTTTCTTTCTGCACGTGTCTCCTGAGAATGCCAATGGATGATTGATTTATTGTCGTCGTTCTGCATGAGGGCAGCTTTTGGTTAGCATGTCTGCCTCACATTCAGGACGTTTGGTTTTGAATCTCCTTGTGGAGATTGCATGCTCTCTATATGCATGTTTGTTAGGTTAGTTGAAGACTGCCCTGAGATGTACCCCACCCCAAAACGCCCCCGAGATAGACTCCAGTTTAGCCACCACCCTAATGCGGACGCGCTATCGAAAGAGGATGGATGAACGGCCATTGGTATTCCCGTTGGAGTCGAGGATAGAGAGGATCATTTGTGATGCAGTCGCAGTACCTGAAACGCTTTCAAATGTCAAACGCGCTCATCATTCATTTAATCCGAGCATGCGTTCTGCATTATCGGTCGAAAACACATTCATCTCATCCCGAGCGATCGCTCAAGCTCGACGTGCATCAATTCATATGCATGACACGCCGCTCGCGCGGGTACGTCTTCATTTGTGTCATCTCGTGGCATGAACCCGACGCCGAGCATCTTTGGCGTTGGCTCACATGTTGTTGTGCGCCGTGTCTTCCTTCAGAGCGACCCGAACCCCCGACCGACCTGGAGCTGACGGACCACAAAAAGAGGAGCGTTCAACTCACCTGGATTCCAGGCGATGAGCACAACAGTCCTATTGAGAGTATGTGTGAATTCAGCGTCGAATGTTCTGAACTCCTATTTTCCATGCCAGTGTTGCATTGGGCAGAATGGATACATTTTGCCAAATACCGAACTCTGCTTTTGAGCTACAAAATGTCACTGTTCACATTTGTCTGTCAGCTAACTTAATAGTTTATCGAACAATGCAGTTTACAAAACCATGAACATTACTTCATCTCACAATGAAGTTATGTCCGCATTAGCCTTGAGTCCATCGGTCGTCCACTCCTAAAAATCATGATTGTAATTCAGTAGCAATTCATTCGTTACGGGGTACACGTTCCTGACCCACCCGTTGAGAGACCATATATTAAAAAAAGATTTTCATTATATAGTTTTGCTGCTCTCGCATGCTTTAAACTAGAAGTGTTCAAACTTTTTAGTTTCAGGGCCGGATATAGTAAAATGGAAAGATGAAAGGGTTACTTAAGAATTTGCCAACTTTTTGAAACGTGCTGAAGTCAGTCAAGAAAGCATTTACCGTATTATACCGTACTACAGGGCGCTTCGGAGTATAAGGCGCAACTTCAATTAATGGCCTCTTTTAAAACTGTTTTCATATATAGGGTGCACCGCATTATAAGGCACATAATATAGAGGCTACAATAGTGGCTGCGGTTGTGTTATGCATCCACTAGATGGAGCTACAGTAAACGAATACAATACAATACAATGTAGCTTTATTTCTACAGCGGTTTCACAACCGCTGCAGCTGTAACAAAGTGACTTACAGAACATTTAAAATACGACGTCCAAGAAATCAGAATACGGATCCGGATATAAGGCGCATCGGATTATAAGGCGCACTGTCGGCTTTTGAGAAAATGGAATGCTTTTCGGTGCGCCTTATAGTGCGGAAAATATGGTATGTATTGTTTGTATTGTCTCGTTAGTGACCTATTTTTTATTATCTTCTTCTTCTTCTCCTTTCGGCACGTCCCTTCTCGTTAGTGACCTATTTTTTATTATACTTACTGCAATTGACTGGTGACCAGTCCTAGTGATGACACAGCATCAGGAGGTCTTGCTCAAGGACACTTGACCCTGTCACAAGGTCTTCTTAATTACATTGCATCTCTTCCAGTAGACCTCAGTGCTGCCCAGCATGGCGTGCCACACTTTTAGCACTCCACTCAAAGCGCACTGCTCTAAATTTGCCAACCTTATATATTTGATCAAATGTTGTATTTATTATTTCACACAGAATTTTTGATCCAGTATGAGGACTCGCTTCACCACCACAGAGGTCACTGGCACAACCTCATTCGTGATGACGCAGCATCAGGAGGTCTTGCTCAAGGATACTTTGACCTTGTCACAAGGTCTTTTTAATTACATTGCATCTCTTCCAGTAGACCTCAGTGCTGCCCAGCATGGCGTGCCACACTTTTAGCACTCCACTCAAAGCGCACAGCTCTAAATTTGCCAACCTTATATATTTGATCAAATGTTGTATTTATTATTTCACACAGAATTTTTGATCCAGTATGAGGACTCGCTTCACCACCACAGAGGTCACTGGCACAACCTCACCGAGGTCGCCGGTACCGAGACCACAGTTCACCTGAAGCTGTCGCCCTATGTTCACTACACCTTTAGAGTCCTTGCTGTCAATGCCATGGGCAGCAGCCGGCCCAGTTTCCCCTCTAAGATGTATAAGACCGAGCCTTCAGGTACTAAAAATCCAGAGTGAAATCTTTTTCCTCTCGGGAACTTGTGTAATATACATGTGTATTTTTCCCTCTTAAAAGCTCCAGATGAGAATCCAACAGGTGTACATGGTTTTGGAACAGAACATGACAATCTTGTCATTTCATGGAAGGTAATTTTTTATAAAGTACAGGAACAAATGACACTCATGAGTCAAGGTACCATACTTATTTTATGATTATTATACTTTTTCGGCGTAAACTTTTGTTGACCTCTTCTTCCGTAGCCGCTGTCAGGCCTCCAGGCCAACGGGCCGGGACTCCATTACAGAGTGATGTGGAGACAGAAGATGATGGACACCGAGTGGATGATGGCGACCGTAGCCAACAACTCCAAGTTTGTGGTGTCCGGAACGCCCACGTTTGTTCCGTACGAGCTCAAAGTTCAGGCCGTGAATGACTACGGTGCAGCGCCCGAACCCGCCGTTGCCTTCGGCCACTCTGGAGAGGATCGTAAGTCCGACTGCTCAGTCTCCAGCCTGCCCTTTTCACCGATGCAAAGCTGTTATGCACAAGTTGTTATGTTGCAGACCCACTCATTTTTTTTTTTATAATACTATCCCTCCCACGTGCAGTAAACACATTTAAACATCTATTTCAATGCAAAAAGTACAAGCGTCAAATGTATAAAACACTTGCTAGTGCACATATTTGTTGCCCACAAGTGTCTGGTTGAACGAGCAGAATTTTTAGGCTAACGTTCTAGCCAATACTATTAATGACTCTCATGCAACGATAGTTTTTTTTTTTACTATAATTACTGAATAGTGTTATGTAACTCGGGTTCATGATTGTGGACAAACTAGAAGCATAAGTGGGTTGATGATTTACGACGCTCTCCATTTCAGGGTGTCAAAGTCGAGGCCCAGGGCCCAGATCTGGGCCCGCCACATCATTTTATATGGCCCGCAAAAGCAAACCAAGCATGTGATGACAGTTTTCATCCATTGCTGTGGTTGGTCAAAACAAAAGTTTGCTTGGCGTGCACAAGTTACGGCATCGCCCCATCAGCACAAAGTATTGTACTGAATGTCCCGCTGTTCCCGAGCAGATCACATTGAAGCACTCCCAGATCGATACTGTGGAGAATTCCTTTGAGGGAGTCACGCATCAATCTGGCTCTTGCCAAAGTACCATCTTGTGGCACCAAAACGCAATTACAAATCACTTTTAGGGGAGTGTCAATTATTTCACTGTTTTGTGCTTGGCCCCTGTCCTTATCCCCTTATCCCCTTATCCCTGTCCCCTGAAAGGGCTGATGATGTGTTTCTGTTTCGTCGCGACAGTGCCGGCCGCCGCTCCACAATCTGTGCAGGCGTACGTGTTAAACAGCACCCTGGCCGAAATCCACTGGGAACCCGTGCCTCAAGAACAAATACGTGGATACCTCAAAGGGTACAAGGTACGGCATGGGAATAAACTGAACACCGGCGGCGCAAATCGGGCGACTGAGGATCTCGTTTTCGCAGGTGTATTACTGGCGAGAGCGCAGTCTGCACAAACATAACCCCCATCACGCGGAGAAGCAGATCCTCACCTTCAGCGGCAACCACAGCAAAGGAAAGCTGCCTGGCCTACACCCCTTCAGTCTCTACTCATTCAATGTCAGGGTGTACAACGGCAAGGGAGACGGTCCCCCGAGTCGCAACCAACAGTTTGAGACCCCCGAAGGAGGTAGGAGAAGAAAATTTCTCTGACTGTTTCAAGCATGACTCAAATATCTTGTGTAGGTGATGTTAAGAATAGATTTTCAATCATTGGTTAAGTATTACCGTATTTTTCGGATAACGGGTCGCTCTGGAGTATGTCCCATTTTGATTGGGGGGGTGGGGGTGATTTAATTTACAAAAACTGAGACCGGTATAGAACAGTAAAGCTTGCATTGTTTCAAAGCAACGTCCCTCCTTCATGTTGACGGTAGCGAACGAGTTCTGGTTGGATTCGAATCTTCCACTTGTAACTACGGAATATTTTTTCTTTATAGTTTAAAATGGCTTACATTAAGAACCATCTCGCATTGCATTGCAGCCAAAGGTAGAATCCTCGGTCGGTTATTTCGCCTAACTAGTAAATCCTTGTTGTGGCGGAAGCAACTTGCTAAACTAGCAATACGCCACAAATTAGTTGCCATGACTACCACTTCTTCTTCCATCCTTTCTTCCGGTGGTTGGCAAATCCTTTTGGTCTATTACTGGCACCGTTTTATACTGTACCAGTATTTGATAACCTCCAAAAGAAAGTAGAAGAAATGCACAAAGAAGTAGTCATGGCAACCAACGTGCGCCGTTTAGCCAGTTTAGCATACGGCTTCCGTCGCAACGAGAAGGGAATATTTATAGTACCTAAAAGTCAAAATAAGTGAGCAGGATTCTACTTTTGCCCACAATCTGACACGGGACATTAATTCTTGCTTTGAGGTCTTCCAGAGCTCTTGAGCTGACAGTTGGGTGCCTCTCTAATTCATTTTCACAGTGCCGGGAGCTCCTTCCTCCTTGACGGTCACCAACCCCAATTTGGACTCTTTAAGCCTTGAGTGGAACCCTCCTCGTGACCGGAACGGACTCCTTACGGGATACACCCTGAAATACCACCCAGGTGAGCTTGTTTCTTGCTCATTTTCTGAGCAATGAACGTCTGGCTTTGTGTAGCTGTCAGTCTCATTGCTTGTATTGTCATCCTGTTGGGGTTAGACCATCGAGAGGATGAATCACCATATCGAGTCACCGTTTAATTAGTCTTAGTGACAGCAATTAACAAGTCACCTTTTGTCATTTCCGCCTCTTGTACCTGAACCCTCTTTGCTCCGAAACACTTTCCGCACTTGTCATCGTTGTCACTTCAACCCACCTACATTTTCTTCCTCCTCCTGCTCCTGCTCCTTCTCCTACTCGCACCTCTATTCAACTTACCCCCCCCTCATCATCTCGTAGTCAATAACTCCAATGAGCTGGGCCCAGAGGAGGAGCTGGCCCTGGCCGCCAATGAGACCTCAGTCACTTTGCTCAACCTCAAGTACAGCACGCGCTACAAGTTTTATTTGAATGCCATAACGCGCAAGGGGGCCGGCCCGGCCGTTACGCAGGAGGCGATCACCGTCGTGGATGAAGGTAAGCAAGAAAAAGATGCGGATTGATGTTTTTAATTCATAAATTATGCTCACCTACATACATTTTTTTTTTTTGGTGTGTCAAATTAAAAATAAACTTTTATGCATTCTGTAGACCAAGAGACTGTATTTAACCATTTCAGGGACAGCGGTTACTCCAATGGACGGCTTGTCGTGTTATCAGGTTACAGGGTGCATGAAAGGGTTAAAGCTTATTAATATTTTATTATTTCATGTCAGCTCACGGAAACTCCAAAATTAACCGTCTGAAGAAATAAGAATATGACATGAGAAACAATCAAAATGATTTTTCATGATAGAAATTAGCTCAGGATTGGCTTTCATTGGTGTGTTTCATGATATGTGCGCAATGTACGATTTTGGATTTTTTTGAAACGAACTACGGAAATACATTTTTTTTTTTTTCCCTCTAACCCAAGAGTGTCAAACTCATTTTTGTTGTGGGCCACATTTTAGTTACCGTTTCCCTTGGAGGGCCGTTATGACTAAAACCAGATCAAAAAGTCAACAATTATGGTTTATTCAACTATTGTTTAAGTGACTGTAATGAGGGGTTTGGTCACAAGAAAATGCTTACAATATGTCTCTAATTTATTAAATACGAGGATTTAAAATTTTGAAAGAGATTTTAACAAGCATCATGGAAGTTGACATGTTTGATTTGCTTTCGCGGGCCACATAAAATGATGTGGCGGGCCCGATCTGGCCCCCCTGGTGTGTCAAATGAAAAATAAACTTATAAGCATTCTATAGAACAAGAGACCGTAGTTAACCATTTCAGGGACAGCGGTTAATGCAGTGGACAGCGTATCGTGTTATCAGGTTACAGGGTGCATGAAAGGGTTAAAGCTTATTTATATTTTATTATTTCATGTCAGCTCACGGAAACTCCAAAATTAACCGTCTGAAGAAATAAGAATATTATGCGGATTGATGTTTTTAATTCAGAAATTATGCTCACCTACATACATTTTTTTTTTTTTGGTGTGTCAAATTAAAAATAAACTTTTATGCATTCTGTAGACCAAGAGACTGTATTTAACCATTTCAGGGACAGCGGTTACTCCAATGGACGGCTTGTCGTGTTATCAGGTTACAGGGTGCATGAAAGGGTTAAAGCTTATTAATATTTTATTATTTCATGTCAGCTCACGGAAACTCCAAAATTAACCGTCTGAAGAAATAAGAATATGACATGAGAAACAATCAAAATGATTTTTCATGATAGAAATTAGCTCAGGATTGGCTTTCATTGGTGTGTTTCATGATATGTGCGCAATGTACGATTTTGGATTTTTTTGAAACGAACTACGGAAATACATTTTTTTTTTTTTCCCTCTAACCCAAGAGTGTCAAACTCATTTTTGTTGTGGGCCACATTTTAGTTACCGTTTCCCTTGGAGGGCCGTTATGACTAAAACCAGATCAAAAAGTCAACAATTATGGTTTATTCAACTATTGTTTAAGTGACTGTAATGACGGGGTTTGGTCGCAAGAAAATTTGGTCACAAGAAAATGCTTACAATATGTCTCTAATTTATTAAATACGAGGATTTAAAATTTTGAAAGAGATTTTAACAAGCATCATGGAAGTTGACATGTTTGATTTGCTTTCGCGGGCCACATAAAATGATGTGGCGGGCCAGATCTGGCCCCCGGGCCTTGAGTTTGACACCTTCTAATTTATTGAGACGTACTAGTACATGATACTGGCATTTTCCAAAAATTAAATAGAAATAATGTCATGAACCCTTTCATGCACCCTGTAACCTGATAACATTAAAAGCTGTCCACTGGAGTAACCGCCTTCCCTCAAAGGGTTAAATATATTGACCAAACAAATCCATAAACAGTTTAATCAACCATAGAAGAAGGTTTGTCGTTCACGATTGTATATACAGTACCCATTTCCCAATTGCTAAATTTAATCCAACACCTGATTAACTCTTTTTTTTTTCCAGTATCTTGTTTGGTATTAGGCAGTAGAATGCACAACAAGAAAATACATCTACAGTGCACTCAGACATCTCACATTCATTTCCATTGATTTAAGATTTTTCAAAGCTCCCATTGAACATCTGCCATGTTCAGTGTTTTAATATTGTTGCGTCATCATCACGTTGTGTCGAGTGTCCTTCATTTTTTTTCTATGGCGTTGTGACTTGACCACTCAAGTCTGATCCAGTCGCATGACATTGCACGGGTGACATTTTTTCTCTGGCGTTGTGACTTGACCACTTTAAGTCTGATCCAGTCGCATGACATTGCACGGGTGACTCGCACAGACCCCTCGCCAATGCTTTGCGCGTGTGTACGTGCTAGTGTGTGTGTGTGCGTGTGTGTGCTTGGAAGTTTGTGTATGTCCGCATCGATGGTGACCCACCTGTTGTCATTTCTCCATTGTGTCTGAGCTCTCCTGACTCATCTCGACAAAGACGTTGACACGGGAAGCAGTGGTATTTATAGTTACGCATGCATTACGGCCATGCGCATTCTCCTCCCTTCCCCTGTCTTGCTTATGTCATATTACCTTGGCCTTGCAAAGAAATGTGCTCAAAAAAAAAAAAAAAAAGAGGTGGAAACAGTACAGTGGAACGGTCAAAGTGTTGGCCTTGCAAAGAAATGTGCTCAAAAAAAAAAACAAAGAGGTGGAAACAGTACAGTGGAACGGTCAAAGTAGAACACAATTGCCTGGTTGACGTCCAAGTTTAATCGGGCCACCGAGAGTGGATGAACGGCATCTTTTTCATTTTGATTGTGGTTTCAAGTTTCATGGCTCCCGTCCAGTGGCTGCCACGAAGAGTTTGGTGTCGGAGTGGTCTGCGCGAGTGTGTCGGTTGTCTTTGATAGGTTGTCATTCCTCGGGCGTGGTGGTTTCTAAAAAAAAACAAACAACTAACTGCAAACCCCGAAGTGGATTGCTTACAATGTACCAAACAGCCAGGACATTTCCAATGTGTCGTTTCTTGTTCTATGGTCCATATAAGAATTTAAAAAAAAAAAAAAAAAAAAAGCAAAGACAAAGCAAATGTTGTTGACTCGGCACATGCTTGTTGATGATTTGAACTGATTTGACTTTTGAGTCTTTTTTTTTTTTTTTATTCCAATAGAGGTTCCACTGTATATGAGAATGACTTCTCCTCGCATGGAAAGGCTTGTTTGTTTGCCCCCGCCCCGAAAGAATAATGCATCCCATCCTCCATCAATGTGTTGATGTTGCCCATGCATCGTGTTCGTGCATTCATTCTCCGGTTGTGTTGCCTTGAGCGCTTTCACCCCCGGTAGCACCTTTCGTGCATCACGCCTGCCAACAGATGCTCTCTCTTGTGTGTTCAGCGCCAGCGGCCAGTCCTTTTGGCAGCGTTAACTCCTCCAGGGGAGAGGACGGCACCCTGATCACTTGGGAGTACTGGGGCCCGGAGAGAAACATTTATTTAGAATACATAGTGGAGAACAGTAAGCAATGTTATTCATATTATTATGATCATTTTTGAGAGCTCCGCATAAGGTGGCGAGAGATTATTTTTGCAAAGTAGGTTAAAAAATGTTCCATCCTATTATTGACGGGAGTTTCGTGTATTTGCCACGCATCAACAATGGGAGTGTTATCGAATTATCTTCATTGTGGATGGGAAAACCCCCCGACAAATGTGTGTGGCTCTTTGTCCAGAGGGTTAAAACGTAAAGTATCATTTTTTTAAAATACATTTCTTGGATAGGGTCTCATTACATTGTGCAAGTATACCTAATAAAGTGGCTTGTAAGGTTATATGAGCAGAAAATAGTTGCTGTCTAGCGCACCGGCACATTCCCATCATGTCACGACTCATATGACGTCTCCAACCCCGCACACATCTGCTGTGTTGTTCGCCGTCCCCCCCCCTGCAGGTGAAGGTGAAGACGAGTGGCGCAAAGAGCTGGTGAACAGCTCTCAGAACTTTATGCTCAGGGGCCTGAAGGAGGGCCTCTCCTATAGGGTGCGCTTGGTGGCCCAAGGTCACGCCGACCAAGAGCCCCACCGCTCCAAGGAGCTCACGGTGACGGTGCCAGGTGAGGCGCGTTCCTGGGCCCACCCGAGCTTTTGCACTTTTTAAAAAAAAACAACATATTTTTAGCGGTGCATTGGATGGTTGCCGTCTCAAGCAGGCATGCTCTGTAGTGCTATATGGAGTTGTGACTTTTGTTGTAGCGCTAATATAGCCGTACACTACGTGACTTGAATTAATATTTCAATATCATCTATAGTAAACTTGTGAGTGTGTGTTGTTTTTGTCTGTAAGTGATTGTCTGTGTGTGTGTGATATCCGTGAAAACATTGCATCATCCATGTATTGGACATTTTCAGTGTTGGGCAAGTTATTTTCACAATAAGGCGCGCCTAATAGCGTTCAATTTTCTCAAAAACCGACAGTGCGCCTTATATTCCGATGCGCCTTCTATACGGATCAATATTCAGATTTCTTGGACGTCATATTTGAAATGTTCTGTAAAGCGCTTTATTACAGCTGCAGCGCTTGTGAATGCTCTATATAAATAAAGCTGTATTGTATTGTATTCCCTTGAGCATAGCTCCATCTCGTGGATGTATAATGCAACCACAGCCACTATTGTATCTTCTATTCTATGTGCCTTATAATGTGGTGCACCCTATATATGAAAACAGTTTTAAAATAAGCCATTCTTTGAAGGTGCACCTTCTATTCTGAAGCGCCTTATAGTGTGGAAAATACGGTACTTCCAAAACATCCTTAATTATGTACAGGATGTCCGAAAAGTCACAATGCTTGTTTTTTGTAAGGCCATGGTCATTCCAATGACTTTGGAATGACGTCGCAAAATTTCTGCTTGGAAAGAATTTTTCTGTCCCTGACTGCAGTTCAGCGCCACCTGGAGAAGCTTTATGGGTGTCGCGCTCCTCCAACGAGTAGTACAATTCGTGGTACCTATGGCAAGTTTCTCGAAACAGCATCTGCTTTTGGCAAACCATGCAGCAAAAGATCTGCGAGTCCCACCACTGATAAGAACAACAAACTCTTAGAGCAGACGCTCATAGTCAATTATTGTTGTCGTTATAATTTGATTTTATATTGATTTGACTGGTTTCGGTGAATATTTTTACTCAAGAGAAATATATTTATGGAGAGTATGTGTGGATTTGTAGTTGTACCGCCTGAATTTCCTCTGTGGGAATTCATAGAATCGTATCTTCATTTCACATTTGGTGGGTGGGCATGAAAATGCCAGCCAATGATAACTTAGGACAGCAGGACCCAAGTCACAGTGTGAGGAGTCGTACATGCCGTAAAGCATATAATAGTTCGAAAATGTAATGACTTATGCTCACTATTAAAATACAGTAAAAAATGCAACTTAGAGTCATTGCATTACTTCTCTCCCCCCAACACTGGATGTTTCTAACCTCCCATCATGAAAGCGGTTAGCAAGCTAACCAAACACGAGCCGCTGCTGAGCAAGTAGATCGTAAAATGATGCTTCTACATGTCAAGGAGTATAGTCAGTGCAAAACGGAAAAGGTGAAAGTGTCCTCTTCCTTTCCTCCTCCCTCCCTCGCTGGTCAGCTGTGGCGAGTCGACAGGTGGACATCGCCACGCAAGGTTGGTTCATCGGCCTCATGTGTGCCATCGCCCTCCTCATCCTCATCCTCCTCATCATCTGCTTCATCCAGAGGAACAAAGGAGGCAAATATCCAGGTGAGGAGTGCAGATAGCTAGCTAGATAGATAGATAGATAAATGCACTTGTATGTAATATTGTAATTTATTTCTTTATTTTATTATTATTATTATTTTTTATTATTATTATAAGTTCGAAGCAGAGAAAGAGGGTGTAAAATTTGGGGAAAATTGTACTAAGCGGGAAGTGGTAGATAATGAAAAGCACAGGGTCTAGGACAGAGCCTTGGGACACACCTGAAGTAACTGGGTGGGACTTGGATGAAAATAAGTTTAGCTGGATGAATGAGTACAATTTAGCATTACTTGTAGGATATTTCTTTCGAACTAGGATGTCTGGAAGTCGCGCCAATTGGCTATTTCAAAAGCCATTTGGCCATTTTCAAAAATCGCTAACTTCCTGTTTAAATTCTGGACTTTGGTCCTTGAATTTTTCATAGCAAACATTTCCACCAAAATATTTGTTGTGGGTGACTGGGTAACGTTTCAGGGGGCACTACTACGTGACTTTAAAAAATATGTTTGTTTCCACCAAGAAAAATGAGCTTACAAAAATTGGCGAGTGTTCAGTCAATTCGAGGCACAGAACAAGCGATATATTTGTTGGTGCTCGGGCCTTGAAAGCCGCTGTGATAGCGACAGCGTGAATCTGTTTTACTCTGGCTCACTTCTCTTTCCGTTTTGGGCACAGTCAAAGAGAAGGAGGACGCTCACACAGACCCGGAGTTCCAGCCCATGAAAGACGAAGATTGCACTTTTGGGGAATACAGGTGAGAGAACGCATTCAAGGCCCGCTAGCCCGGGAGGCTCGTTTAAACCCATCGAGTCTTTCTAGCCGGGCCGGTGCTCTTTTCACCACTGACCACTGAAATGATCAACAGGAAGTGCCCCCCTGCCCTCTTAGCCTAAAGCACTTTTTTGTGGGGGGACATTTTTTGGACTCTTTGCTGGATGGGATTGTTCAGGTTCTCAGGATGAAAGGGTGGGTCTGTTTCTTCCTGCGAAAATATCCATATTGATAATAAGCTACTCAAGACAGCGATCAAAGCTCACCGTAATCAAGCTATGCCGGTTAGCATCCCGACTGGAGGTTGCACACAGAACAAAGCACTTTATCGTATATTGTCTATGTGTTGTCATGTTTTTTTTTTTTATTACTGTAATGTGCATAAAAAACATGATGGGGTCCAAACAAACATTTTTTAAGAAGTACTTTATATTCACTTTTTTTTTGTATGTATACCCAAATGTATTCTATAGAATTAAAACGGATATAACATGCATATCTATATGTACAGGAAATATATGGATATAATATGTGGGATGCATGCTGTGAAGAGCTGATATACATTTATGAGGATTTTAAAAAGACTGCACTAGTTGATGACATGTTGAAATGGATCGTTCGTCTACGTGTGTAGATGTATATGTATGTGGAAGGATGCAGTCATTTGGGCAATACGTTAAATAGAATTTTATTTTATTTTTTTTCTGATTCTGATTTCTGAAGCGAGTCCAAATGACACTCACCCAAAAATATATCTAAAAAAGCAAAGTAATATCAAGTCATATTATTATCATTGTGACGCAAAAAGCTAGGGGAAATGTAACATTTTGAAACATTATAAAGAATAAAGATATGTGATCATAAAATACAAATATGTAACACAAAAATCTTTTTATTGTTACAAATTATTTTCTTGTTGATTACAAATTTGGCCTCTTCATTTTCCTTTTCTCATAATTTTGTGTAATACTTTTTTTTTCTGCCTTGCCCTAATTTTCCTTTATATTACAGATTATCATTAATTTTGGTTGGTGTCATTTTCACGTGTTTTTCTTTTGGGGAAAAAAAGGCAAATATTTTCAGAAGATAAAGTCATAATTTCATAATATACATAATACTACTTTTTTCCTCAAATCGTTTTTTGTTTTGTTTTTTTTTAACAAATATTTGTTGTGTTAGTTCCTCAATAAGTCACATGATCAGCCTGTTTGGATCAGACAATGTTTACTTGTGAGTACGTGTAGGGGAATCCCTCAGTGCGGAGAGGTAAGGGTGATGTTGTGTGTCTGTCTGTGTGTGTGTGTGTGTGTGTGTGTGTGTGTGTGTGTGTGTGTGTGTGAGAGAGAGAGAGAAGACCAAACAAAAAAACGCTCATCAAGTTGAATATTTGTGAAGTCATAAAGCCTTGGTGATGTCTGAAGACACTCAGTGAGTGCCTCTCTTGTCTGCAATGTGGATCTTACATACGCTAACTCGTGTCCAAATTGAACAAACCTTTCAGCATCATGACGGCTTTCTTGCCTGTGTTTCATTGACGTTCGACTCATGTACATGAAGAAGAGTTGCTTTGATAATTATGTCACGCTTTGTCGAAAACGATCACACGCTTGCTTTTGGATGGACGGTGTTTGGTCGTCATTTTTGTTATTTTGCCATCGCAGCATTTTTGTGTCTGTGACGCTGCAACAAAACAACAACACAGTGACCACCTCATCTCTTATTTGGTTTCAAGGGGAATCCAACCAGTGTGACATTGCTTGACATCTATTCCCCTGTTGCCTGATGGAAACCAACGAATCACTCAGAGCTTTTTTTTTTTTCTTTAGACATGGAGCTAACGCTTTTACGATAGCTTAGACCAGTGATTCCCAATGACTAGGCCATGGCAAATTAGTATGTGCTGGCAGAATTAAGTGCCAGACCCAACCACGATTGGTGAAAATCCACAGTATGAAGTGACCATAGACATTTTTTTAAGTATCAGGGGTTCTCCAATTTTGAGGGGCACTGTCTTAAGCAATGGTAAAAGTTACTGTAGGAATGCTCCATCTAAGAAAGGGAAAAAAAAAGAAAGGAAAAAGAAAAAGCTGCATCCGGCACATCATGATCACCGCTAACACCTTGCATGTCATTCTCTCCCTCAGCGACAATGAGGACCATAAACCGTTAAAAGGGAGCCGCACGCCATCGAGCGGCACGGTTAAGCGGGACGGCAGTGACGACAGTTTAGTAGACTACGGGGAAGGAGGAGACGGCCAGTTCAACGAGGACGGCTCGTTTATCGGCCAGTATAGCGGAAAGAGCGCCTGCCGCGACACCGCCGAGGGCCACGAGAGCTCCGAAGCGCCATCCCCGATTAACGCCATGAACTCCTTGAACTCCTTCGTGTAGTCTCGCCATCCTAAGCGGGAAAAATAACATGCGTCTTGTCATCGGGGGAAACCTTCAGAGAGAAGCTCTTAGGAAGGCGATAACCCAACGCCTTGACCGTGAACAAGACTCTCTTTGGACTCCATAGACGTTTTCACCATGACTTTTATCTTTTTTCACCGCGATTTTATCTGACTATTCAGGACATCCACTCGATTTATAAATCACCAAGGTGATCATTTCAGTTCAGGTCAGCAGGCAGTTGCTTTTCTGCCACCTCAAATTACCCTGGTGCCTATCATTTACTAACATGATAAACATGTCTGTCAGCTTGTATGTTCAAAGCATGACTCCCATGTGTTTCTCTTCCCACGCAGACGCTTGTACATGAAATTAATTGACATGACTCAAGGCCCGCACCTTCGTAATATCTTCATAGGAACAGTCCTGTGCATTCGTCAAAGTACACACTTCGAATTGTGGTTTCATTGAGCTTCTATTGGCTTAATTAGCATGGCATCTTCAGGAATACTCTCTTAAATCGAAGAGTACACTAATTCATGTCATTTACAAGCCTGTTCTTATTCATCCCAAAAAAATAGGGCATGGGTTTTTGGGCTGGTTAGCTCACTAGCTAGCTGGCTAGTTAGTCACCCGTTAAGTCAGTCAGTTAGTTAGTGAGTTAGTTGTTCCTTTTTATATTCCTTCTTCTTGGCTCATTAGTTCCTTATTTGTTCCAGGTGAGTTGGCAAGCAAGTTTGTCATACAGGCATTAGCTAGTTAGCATAATTACAACAACAAAAAAAAAGACAACCATTTGACACAATACTCTTTAGATTGGTGGTGTCAATCAAATGCTAATCCTCCCGTTTCCTTTTAAAATTGGTTGGTTGGTGAGCTAACGAGGCTTTAGTTGGACTGTGCGAAAACTATACAACCAATTTGTCTTTTTCTATTCTGTTTGTGAAATTGTTTAGCTAGCTGATTAGTTAGCACTCTAGCTACCTATCTATACATAGCAAAACATGATACCATTTTCTAAAAAAAACCTGAAGGAGTGCTCGCATTGCTATTACTACACCTGTTTGGCGACCTATCGACTGAGCTAGCTAGCTAGCTACCATTTAGTGAGCTAGTTAGTTAGTAGCAAGGACCAGGCAAAAATATGTTTCACAAAACTGTGTACAGAAATGCAAAAGGCACCAGACGAGGTTTGTGGTTAGGTTTTTTTTAAATTTATTTTAGCACGCCAGTCCATTAGTCAGAAAATTAGCGGGAAAACTTTGAGGTGCTCTGCGGTGGGGGAACCTTTCCATAAAGAAATTTGATTTTCCTTTGTGATGTTAATGGAACGGTCCGCCACCAAATTCATAATGTCCATCTGGCATCCTTCGTCAACTAGGGAGCAGGCTGCTAACAAAAAATGGACACAAATATGCCTGGAAAAAAAAAAAACTACAAAGCTAGTGGTAACTTGACTTTTCCACAGTACTGTTCATACAAAACAAGAGCATTACAAGCATGCTATACGATTGCAGCACTGTACTGTCCATCCGCCTCATGACCCGTTGCATGGCATGTTAAATCCTCACCCACCTTCGCTCCAGTGTGCGCCTGAATGTGACCTTTGCTTTTTGGTGTGCTAGTGCCTTTATTTCATACTGAGGGCCGTGCTACATACATGACGAAACATGTTTGGAAAGCAGGTTAGGGCTGTCCTAAGTCCTGTGGCATGAACTTTTCGAAGACAACCACAACAGAACACTTGGTTCAGTGTGGTTGTTTTTCTTTTGTCACCTTTTTTTAAATAGATTTTTTTGCATAAGCCTGGTAGCACGCAAAAAAAAAAAAACATAAGCAAAACACAATATTTTAAAACATTTAAACAGGTTTTTTTTGTTCTTGACAGAAGTCAGTGCCCTTAACTTGTTTTTACTCCTGCCAAGGCAGTATGGTTTTGGTTTTTTGTTGTATTTTTTTGTCGGGAGAAAAATATACAATCTGGTGCAGATAAAGGCTTTTTTTTTTTTTTTTAATGATACGGAGCACAATTCCTTAATTGCTTGTTAAAATGTGGTCAACATAGTGGCGGTGAGGGGTGTTTCTGATCTTGGTGCAACATACACACAGTGTAGAGAACAAACTTCTCCCCCACCAAGCAAAAATGCTTTTACGTTTTATGGGCACTTTTTTTTTTTTATGCTCACTCCTGCTAGAACACAAACAGTCATTAAAAAAAATGTGGAAAAAAGAAGATTTAAGTTTTTCCTCGGAAGAGATCAGCAGTCTGCGGTGATTGACTTGATTGTTTTAAGCTACAGCACATTTTTTGATGTTCACTAGACCACATTAAAAATTAAATCACATCACGTTCAGGTCATCGGAATGTACGCAGCATCCATTTCTCCACGATCATCACACTAATATGTTGACTTGTACTAATGACGCTTCTTGAGAGCCTTTATACGGGATCAAGGTTTCTTTTTTTTCTTAACTTGCATCAAGTTTGACTTTCTTTTTATTGTGATGATGAGGACTTGTAGAATATTTTGTTGAAATGTGTAAATATACCCTCACGTGGATTGTACAGGGCTTGCGAGTGAGGCGACGTTGTGCATGATTTCTAATGTTCATAGGACTGTATTAAATGTAGAGAATATATCTATAAATATACTGGAATCCTTTTCTTGCTGTGCATTGTGTACATACTGTATGTTTTTCTGTAATGAACTGGACCGATAGAAATTATATACGATTTTTTTTTTTTTTTTTTCCCAGATATTGCTTGCCCGGGCTACACTGCCAAAGTTTTGTTTTCAACAATATTTCAGCTTGTTTTTGTATTTAAGGAACAGATTTGTACTAACCCGATACTTTTGTTGTTTCAATGTCATTTCTTTTTTTGTTTCTTGATATGGGAGCTCTATTGAATGAATAAACCATCATTTTCCTCCAATTTTGACTCAAGGCTTGTCCATGAATGATGTTAATAATGCAAAGCTGATTACCGGTATGCCTTTTCTGCTGACACAATCAAAGAAGCAATTCAGAGTTTGGACCGTAGAAGAAGCAGGAACTGACTAGAAAGGTCTGAAAGAGGTGTGGGTAACAAAAGTTTTGATGACCCAGTTTGAGTGGGAGTGCGGGTGAGTTCGGGTGAAATCAGCCGGTGGTGGTTTTGTGCATGCGCCATTCATTTTGCAGTTTGGCGGAGTGAGCATCATTTTGTAGTCGCCAGAGGCTTGGAAAAGTAGCTCAAGACAGCCGCAAAGTCACGAAACTGGCAACACTGATTTCTGCTTTAATGGGTACTCTTTCCATTTAAGCGTGCACTCGCTATTTCACATTAAGTAATCAGCAACGAGAAGAGCTTTAATGCATATCCTTGCAATTTCAGCAAGCCCTTAATTGGTATTTTACATGTTGGGTATCCAGCAATGGGAAGTGCTTTAATGATTACTCGTTTATGAGCGAGTGCTTGGCATTTTATATGGAGTGCTCAGGATTGCCCGGTGCTTTAATGTGAACCTTGTTAATATCAGTGAGCTCTCAAAGTTTTTATCTTGGTTTTCTAAGCACTGCGGTGTATTTCAACGTGTATTCTTTCTATTTCAGTCAGTGTTCAGCATGGGAATGTGCTTTAATGTGCGCCCTTTCAAGCTCAGCATGATGTTTAAGCCGAACAAGTGTTAAGAAGTGCTTTCAAGCATGTTTTCAATGTCAGCGGTTGCTCTGTCTGCTTTTTATGCTGGGCAACCGTCATTAAGAAGCGCTTGATTGCGTGCTCTTTCCAATCGTAGCAACCTTTTGCCTTTTACTTTGGATACCCACTCACATGAATTGATTCCACACGTTCTCTTTCAATTTCAAGTGACTTTTTGACATTTTTCATTGGGTGGTGGCGCAATAAATGTATGAGAGGTATAATTTCATAAGTCAGTGGAGTAGATGGTTGGCACGTCTGCCTCACGTTCAGGAGCCCTCGGTTCAAATGTTTTTTTTCAACATCTGAGCTTGCATGTTCCGTGTCCATGACACAAGAATATCCTGATGTGTGAATGTTTGTTTCTCTGTGTGTGTGTGTGTGCTCTGTGATTAACTGGCTAACAGTACATGAGTACGCTAGTTTCCTTGCCCAAAGTAAACTAGCATAGGCTCCAGGTTATCCTTCACCCGAATGAATATGAGAAAAAAAAATAGGATAGATGGATATGTGGAGTCTCTCTGTTAGCCAACAGCAAAGCTTGTCAGTGACGATTGGACGTTCGTTTTTGTTTCTGCTTGACTTGACCGCCCCCTAGTGGCGACCAAGTCAGCTGCCCTGTCCCCACCCCTTTCCTAATTGCCACCCACTCTTCAGTTCTGCTTTGCTTCCCGCCACTCTCCCCCCTTCCTCCCCCTCTTCCTCCAATTCCCGGCGGCCGATTCATTTTGCGTCGGCTGCACGTCTGCCTCGGCGTCCATTATCTTCCAGCCTCGATGATTGATCCAGCATGTGCAGCAGCTTTCGGCCCCACCTGCAATCAGACTGCTCGCTTTCGCTTTTGTCCTCTTCTCCAAAGACCTCTCAACGTTAACTCGTCAAGGTCCTTTCAGAAAATAATAATAATGTATTTGGTTTTTAGACTTGGTGAAGCAGCATCTGCTTCCTGATGTGGTTCCCGGGTCTGCGTGGGTTTTCTCCGGGTACTCCAGTTTTCTCCCACATTCCAAAAACATGCATGGCAGGCTGATTGAACTCTAAATTGTCCCGAGATGTGAGTGTTAGCGTGAATGGTTGTTCGTCTCTGTGTGCCCTGTGATTGGCTGGCAACCGGTTCAGGGTGTCCCCCGCCTACTGCCCGAATTCGGCTGGGATAGGCTCCTCCTTGTCAGGATAAATGGATGGATGGATGGATGGTTGCACCAAATAAAATTGTTGTGTATGGATAAAGACCGATTTTTTAGCTAGATGCGAAGGCTACTTGGGGAAAAAAAAACCCACACACATCATCTGCTTTCAGATGACGTTATTTCGTGCAACCACTTGACAAAATCAAATGGAGTAAATTCCGCAACATTTTCATTGTGGCTTCTTTAGTCGTCACACTCAAACTATTTTGTGCTCTTTCTTTGGAGTGTGACATTAAAAATGAGTCGCCAAGAAAAGTGGACTTTCAAGCCGAAATCATGTCTCCTGGATTGACAATATAACTTTTAAGACTTCTGTCCAGTAACTTTTCGAACACAAATGGTGAATGACGAAACTCTGGCATGTTATGTAACCGTGAAGATTTTTAGCAGTTCCGGGAGCTGCACGGTGATCATTGTTCATACTGACCGTCTTCAAATCAATCAATTCAGTCTAGAGGTTTTTAAAAAAATGTCCCTACATACTGTATCTTCAAATCCAAATGTCCTTTGTGGCACCAAAGTGACATCCATCATCTCACCTCCCCCAGTCACATGATTTGCCCTGTCCTAATCCGTTCCACACCCTGATTCATATCCCCCAAGCTCCCCCGCTGTGTCCCATGTGTATATTGTTGAAGGGTAGAAGGGGGTGAGGATGGGTGAGAGGGGGCAGGGCGGGGGTGGGGGTGGGCTACTTTTGCATGAGCCCCTACGCAGATCATCGAGGCTAAATCCTCATTTATCACCGCCACCGTCTTCCCTCCTCCTCCACAAGATGACGGCATCCCATTCTTCCCCTCCAGACAGCAGGCTGGCTGTTTGCTCTTCCTCTTATTCAGCCTCGTAAGACCGTCGTTCGCCGGCGAGGCCTCGTCGTCTCTGTTTGCTTGGTAAGAGAAGTCGTGTTTGTCTGTGGGTTGAACACACATGCATCTCGAAGTAACTTGAGCGCAAAATTGATTTTGTTGCTGTTCTTATGCACGGTCCCCACAAGTCACACAATTCACTTCGCATGGGCGGACGCGGACTCCCATCTCTCTCAGGGCGGAAAATGGTCTTTCCTCAACAGTTTCTTATCGCAGGGAATAAATTGGAGCAAGCATCAAACCTACTTTTGGCTTTATTTTTTTTTTTTTCAATGTTCATGAAAAAAAATGGAATCAAAGTGTCCAGAACGAGCAGTGAATGGACAGACAGCACAGCCTTTCGTACCACAACGGCAGGGCACCAAATGGTAGTATGGTACCATGCCCTTGGTACCTTGCTCTAAGTTTACCCAAAAGTTAGACAAATCAGTTCTTGAAAATCATTTTGGTTTGTCATTATCTCCCCTTGCCCCGCCCCCAAAATCCCGATGCAAAAATTCTCTTTCAACCAACCAATGGGCAACAATTAGCTCCTTCCTGTTCAGTAGCTTACCGCTGCTATCGGTACCACAGAAGAAAAATGTGATAAACGTTATTTATTTTACAAACTGGGTCATGCTTGACGATATTCTCCCCCACAAAAAATAATAATTATATGACAGTTCTCTGCCAACCAATCCATGAACATCAACTAGCTTTCTCCCATTTGGTCCCATAACATTTCTCTTGGTGCCCCAGTAATTTAAGTCCTCTTTTGAATATGCCAACATAAGAAAAAGCGTTCTTGAGAAATTTAGAAAAACGCCCCCCCCAAAATGATAATTTCTTGACTGCATCACCTCAAGAGAAAATGTGTTCTTGAGGAATTTAGAAAAACAAGCCCCAAAAATTACAATTCTTTGACTGCGTCTAGTGTAGCAGCTCATCCTTTGGTACCCCAACGAAAAGAAGGCAAAAAAAAAAAAAATGCTGCAGATCCATTTTTTTTTCTCCATACTTTGTCATTGTTCAAGCAGGCTCAAATCCTTTAATTAATTCAAGGCCACTCTCCCTCACAGATCGCTGCATTATTAATGCGGGGTGCTGTCACAACATCAGAGTATTATTTGTGGTGCAGTGTTTACATCCAAGATTTAAAGGTAATCCCAGGGGATCATGTGTTTGGACTGACACACGGTTGCGGCCTTGTAAGCCCGAGACGCGCCCTTCTCATGTCAAAAGAGGCACGAAAACAGGCAGGAAACCCCATTAAAAGAAAAGGAAAGAAAAAAAAACTATCATTGAAAGTCATAGAAGCTGCTTTTGTGTAGACACACTCACCATTTGTGTTTTTGTCTAAAATGATATTTACTTTTTTTTTTTCATGTCTTTGTGTCCACCTGTTCTCGTCAGTCCCGTTCCGTCCCTCGTGTCCGCCAATCAGCTCCATTCGCCACTCGCGTCTTTTCCAGGTGTTCCTCATCGCCTCATCAGTTTTTGTGTATTTAATTCCCTGCCTTCTTTCCCTTCATTGTTGGATCGTTACTTTTGCTTGTCGTCCTTGTTAGTTGTCACATCCCTGTGTCTTGGTGAGTTTAATGTGATTTTTTTTTTTTTTTTTTTGGTGATCCAAAGTGCCATTTATTTATTTTATTTTTTTACATTTCTGAAAATAAATACTTGTCGAGAGCACTCCTGCCTTGCTTGCCTACAATTGGGTCCCTAAGGTACATAAGAACCCTGCAATACCTTAACACACACACACACACACACACACAAATAAAATACACTATGCATGGAACACTCATTCACATCGATATAGGAATGTGCTAATATAATCCCAATAAAGGTTGAATTGGCATAGGTAGTGATTTGCATGTGAATTTTGATCACCATTTGTCATGTTTTTTTTTTTAACACTAGGCCACCTTAGAACACTGTTTTAGACTGTCCCCTTAGATTTTTGTGTTCATTTCGTGAAAAAATGGGAGCAAAAACAAGTGCTGCATTGAAATTTAAATTAAATTCAAAATCAACCCCCCCCCCCCCCGTCGCCCCACAGTATAAACGTACTATACAGTGGTGCCTTGATTTTAAAACCACTTGTATCTCATTTCCTATTTTGCCGTTAAAATTACACTAAACTGTACTGAATAAAAACAAAAGGGAAAAACATTTGCACTCCACCGAACCTGCAAACAGAAAAAACGTGAGCGTCAAACATGACAGTACCTAATGTATTGTACTGTACTTCATTGCTCTTCTTCTGTGGTGTATTTTTGGCGGTTGGTCAACGAGCTTAATGACGCATTATTACCACCAACAGATATTGTCCTTCCACTGCGACGGAACCAATGTGAATGTATGGTGGCTGTGAAATGTGCTGCTGCCATCTACTGGTGGGGGTCTGAATTGTATTTGTATCGCCGATTTTTGCTTGTATCTTGAGACAAAAAATGGCTCATTAGTCAAAGCACACGTTTTATACTGTATTGCGATTTATTTAATGTCCAATTAGGCTTTCAAGATCCTCTTCTCACGTCATTTTATTTTTGAAAAACACAAGCGAGAACGGTTTTACAATAAACCATACCAGTTTTATACACAAATGTCTTGCTCATAACTGCTTTACAAAATTCTACCAATCAAATGTTGCATGAGCAGAAGTCAGTAGATCACAAGTCAGGTGCCAACAACAATGCAAATAAATCTGTGGGTTTCAGCTTTTCATGTTTCATGAAAGCGTGCTCAACTTGAATTAATTGCTCAGTTCTAAGTGATATCAAGAGGCAAAATAAGTCGTTTCCTGGATGAGTACCAAAAACGAACATGACTGATATCTGTACTTAATATTTGCTGTTGTGCTCGTTTCAATGACAACGCGTTTGGCTCCCTCTAGTGGCTGTTACGATGACTGCACCTCCCTCCCAACCCACATTGGGGACAGGACCGCGCCGGTCTCTCGCTCTCACCCTCTCTTCGTGTCAGTTTCTTCCTCAGCTCCTTCCCGAGCGGCCGGCGGCGCGGTACTGGAGCAGATGTGAGCGTCGTTGTGCGGGACGACACCGACCCACGCACAAGGCTCTCCCTCGGCGCAAGGTAAGGGTAGCGAGCGGCATGTGGTGGACACATTTTGGATTTCCAGGGAATGTTGACAGCTCGAACGCTGCTGGTTTATGGTGGCCACGTTGTTTACATGTCAGTGGGATTGGAGCCTGCACGCTGCTGCCCCTCCGCAATGCAGACTGATCAAATTGTGGGGTGTTGGGGACAGTGCTGTGGTGGCACATGCCGCGGGGGTGCTGCTTTTCCAATTGCGTGTGTGTGTGTAGATGGCACGGTGGTGCTGATGATGCACGCATATCCTTGCGTGCACCGGAGGTAGTGACGTGTGTTACTATGCACACAACACACCTTGCTTTTAAGTAAGCCTCCCTCCGATTGGACCATATTAGCATGTCGAGCCACTAACTACAGTGAAAATGAATGCACACTCTCTCTTTTGAAAAGGGGCATCATGTGAGGTAGCGGCTCAAGGAAGGTTTGCAGGTGAAGGTGCCAATGGGCGCGTCCTGCGCAGTGATTTTGATGGTGTAGATTACAGTTGCCGAATCAAATGAGAAATCTGTTGGTAATATTTGCTTGTTATGAGTGTCAGGGTGGTTTTAATGAAACAAAATATGCAGTGGCTAATATTGTTGTCACTCATATTGCGACACAAGGAAACCAAATAATGAGGAACAGTTCTGTCGGCCCAAGCGCGAAAAATGCTCTTAAAACAGATGACGGAGTCAAGCCATTGGTAGATAAGATGTTTAAAAATAAATACGAACGCAAGGTGATGCCTTGAGATACGAATGATCCAACTTACAAGTTCATCGAGAGATGAGCCATCAATGGGCTGTTTCCTTATTTATGTATTTATTTATTTTGTTGTTGTTGCTTTGCCCCCTGAGCAAACTTGAGATAAATGTGCTGTGCGTTAACAGTGACGGATAGAATTTGTAAATATTCTTGAAAAATATGCTTCCAGCTTTTTATTGCCTCTGTCAACTGAATTGTACTAACCAAAACACAAAACTAAGAGAATTACACCTTGTGTATTTAAAACAACCACACAGCTAAGACTTTAGTTGGCTAGCTTAAGGATAATGCTAACATAGGCAACGATTAGCATCATTGTGTTCGTGTTACAACCCAACTCATGTTGACAGATGAGAGTCAGGCAGACTACACCCTGGAGTGGTCGCCAGCCAATCTCTGGGCACGGATAGACAAGCAAACGTTCAAACCTATGGACAATTTAGTCTTCAATAAACTGAACATAATTTAACTGCGGCGCTGTCCGTGGTTGAATGGTTGTTTGTCCATGTGTGCCCAATAATTCATTGGCTACCAGTAAAGCGTGTACCTCGCAAAATCAGCTGGGTTACACTCCAGCTCCACCCTAATGAGGAGAAGCACTTTAATAAAATGGTTGATGGATGGAATTAAACCGATGTAACTATTCATGGATTTTTCATAATGGAAATGCTTGGCAGGCCGGAGTAAAGATCAGATCGGGCCGCAGTTGGCCCACGGGCCACACTTTGCGCACCACTGCGTAGACTCAAAACCATATCAAATTATGTTTTTTTTTTTCTTTCGAACGCGAAATTCAAAATTATTTGCCAGCTAACAAAACACGTTTTTGTCTAAAAGGCCACACAGGAGATGACCTGTTTTTTCCAGACATGCTAGGTGAAAGAAGAATTTATCCCTCTCCAAAGTAGGTTAAACTCCCGCATGCGAACATCTCTTTGAAATTTCAACTGCGGGCGCGTTGAATTTTGTAATAAGTTTGCTCGCCTGCCGACAATGCTCGCACGCATGCCTGCGCGCTGGCTGCGGGCTCCCGATGCATTATGAGGACGCGGCTCTTCTCATCCTCTTTTACTGTCACAACAAATGACTCAACACAAGCGATCTTTTTAAAGGCTCCCGCTGCATCTGTCGTGTGGTGCGGCCGTCTCGCATTCAACGGCGCATCGCCACAAGGGTGACGGGATTGGCTTTTTACTTGACATGAAGACATGTCCTTCCTTGCACTAGAAAACTTTTTTCTTTTTTCTTTTTTTAATCTTGAGGTCAATGCATTTCTGACATTTTCATGCTTCTGTACTTAGCAGCAGACATTTGGATGTTTTTGCCATGCCGGATGAAGGCAGTTTTAGAGTCATTTCAGGTGACTGGATGACTTTCCTCCTGGTTGAAGCTGTTGGTGAACAGACAATGATGGTTCAGGTGATGTTTTACTGATGGGAGACATGGGAGGCATTTGGCAGTTTGCGAGTGTTGGTGGTTGCTTATTTAAACTGATGCGGTCCGTGCGCTGTGGTTTTTGCAGTCTTCGGTCAACCGACGAGGGTGGAACCAAACCATAGAAATAGATTAGCGCTGTGGTTTGTACGCTAATGAAACAGTGCTGGAAAGTGGACTTCCATTTGCAGTCAGTTCAATTCCACGAAAATGTTCAACTTGGTGTTTTAGGGCCTATTTTTTGGAGGGTTCTTTTTGCTTTCTGCTGTTTCCTCTTTCTGCCGAAGAATGGGGCTCAAAATTTAGCCTTAAAAAAAAAATAAAATAGGAGGTGAGCGAGCTCGGCTGATGCTGAGACATTTTGTCTCATCTCACTTTTGTTTGGATTGTGAAGTTGTATTTCAGTATTTTTTTTTGGAGCACATTTTGCCTCCAAACCTAAAGTTGAATTGAGTTGTTTGACCGTCCACCGTCGCCAGCCAATGGACCCCATCGGAATTTGATTGGAACTACTCAACGGAACACAGAAAGCGCTGCTGACACTGAGCAGGGAGAAACGGCCATGTCGAAGTGCAGCTTGATTGCGCCAACTGTCCCGAGCGCTTGTACAAATGTCTCCTCCTGTCCTGGCACTCTTGCTCGCCCCCTCCCCTTTTTTTTAACTGGCCCTGCAGTTGAGAAATGAACAATCAACAGCGAGATGCACTCATGGTACAATTGTGAGGCGGAGACACAACATGACGTCTTTGGCTGCAGACGGACAGACTGACTGACTGACAGCGTGCTCCTCTGTTCATGCCCGAGGAGGAGAAAGTCCCCGTTTGCACTTTATCCCGGCAGCTTTCTGCATGCATACAGTACGACTGCTGAATAGACTGTGTGAGTTAAGTCATTAAAAATGAGTCGATGGTAGATCCCTTTTTAATGCAAATCCACCTCATCCATCTTAAGCAGTTAGTCTGCGAACGATATACAGTCTTGTCGCAGAGAAAACTCTGATACTAAGTGCTGATTTTGTGTTTTTGGTTTTTGTTGGCCACTGTACTTGTCCCCCCCCCCCACGATGCTCAATAAGCGGGTGGGAGGATTGCTTTTAACGCCAGATTTTATGATTACTTATGCAGTCACACTGAGTCAAAGCTGCTCAGCTAGAACCTGATTGAGCTCATCTGCAGTCGAATTCTTTAGCCGATGTTTTTACGATAAACCTCGATAAATGTGTTTTAGTGTGATTCAAACCTAAAAAAAAAAAAAAACGAGCACATGGTGGAAAGTATTTATAGCTCTGCTGCAGCTATTCTATTTATAGGTTTAAAGCTGCTTGACAAATACATTTTTAACGTTGATATGGCGATCATTAAACTTTTTGAACACCATGTCCATTCATAATGACATGTTTTAATTAAAGGGCCCTTGAGAAGCATTCAAGGACGCACTTACAAAACACACATTCCGATGAATAAAATCCTGTAAAGGCAAGCAAATGTACCAGGAATGAAAGAGTGAGCCAAACGGTTGTCACTGGTCAGGAACTAACTTGACACATTTCAGGAGATCGGATACAAGCCTTTCTAAGTGAAGTGTTAAAAACAAAAAAAGATGAAAAATCTTCAGGTATAAAGGATATCCAACTGTCAGCCCAGACAAAGTGAACAGATCATCAAAAGATAGTTCCAAAAAAAAAAAAAAGGAACTTAGCATTTTAGAGTACACCACAATGTTGATGGGTGTGTTGGTGAACATTGAGAATTCGACATTAGATGAATTTGTTCTGGAGCGAAAATGGGTAACTTCATGTAGAATTCAGGTTGAACTTCACTTAATATTAAAACAAAACAAAACAAAAAAAAAAACCACAAGGGGACCTAAGACGGTGTCCAGTGGAACGCCATCATCAGGACTTGTGACTTGGACTCTCCCTATGCTTTCGAATGTACCAAGTCTGACGGGTACTGCACAAAAAAAAATCCATTTCAGCTTTAACCTGTAAAGACGCATTGTCATTGTTGAGTTTTGAGACGAATTTTTTTTCCTGCTTATTGCAGACTCTGTACTGACAAGACCAAAGGTAAAGGCAAGCATTTCTGTTACATCATCCACATAGAATGACACTGACTTGTATCAAAGACAATGTCTCCATTTACATTCACTCTTGATTTCTGCGCTCTTGTTGCTGGCTTCGATTTTTTTAAAGTGTGTCCAAATATCAGCCGGAATCTGATCTGAATTATTGGTAGGTTTTACATAATCACGTAATTGCAAATTCCTGAAAGCTGAATCAGACTACATTTTTAGCTTGCAGTGTGTTCTCACACAAGTCATGTTTGTACACCTCTTGAAGCACCGTCAGATTCGTTACGTTCTCTGCACAGTCAAACAAATGTGGAAGCTATTTTGCTCCACTGAAGAGGAAATGCCGTGTTATTATTGTGCAACAGCAAACCAGTCAGTGATTTAGGCTGCGAATTTGATCTGCTGTGTTCCAATGTGGCCAAGATCGAAATGACACATCCGCTCACTCATTTTTTGTTCTTTAAAAAAAGAATTATAAATCAAATGGGATTTTAACACCCCGCACCCCTCTGTCCTCCCTTTTTGATTATCCTGGGATTTCCCCCAAGACACTCCCATTGTGGGTCAGAGTTTAATGTACAGAGTGTCAGAAAATTCGCGAAACAATTCCGTTTTTTGATTTCATTGCTTGTTCTGTAACATTCTGACAGACATGAGGCCATCGGACAACTTGGGCTTTGTGGGTTTTGGCGGCACTTTCTATTCTCTTGATTATGTAAAACCTACCA